TAGCCAACCGGATGGGGCGAGCCGCCCCGCCCCCCCGCCCCGCCCTCAGGGCCCCGCCCCACCCTCATGTCCCGCCCCTCCCTCAGGGCCCGCCCCCTCTCCACTCACTGTTTAATGCTGTAGATGGCATAAGCCTTCCCCAGGCACTGATTGTGCCCCGCGCCCCACGGCATGGTGTAATTCTTCAACCGTTTCCCACCCTTGTAAAAGTCTTTCTTCTCTGATCCATCTGGGCTCAGGAATCGGTTGTATTTAAACACCTGAAACAAGAAGAAAGTCCATTTCTTCATTCCCACCCCAAACAAACCTGCACCAGAAAAAATGTTTTGAGGATTTCATTACAGACTTGCTTAGAGAAGGAGGAAAAAGGGACACGATGGCACCGGCAAAAACTGTGGCAAAAGATTTGTGCGTACTACACGGAAAAAATCTCTGTTGCGGGTTGTTAAGTAAAAAACACGAGTTTCAGAGCGATAGGATCCTATATAAACACTTGTTTGTCTGTGTGTGTGTGTGTGCATGCGTTGGTAAAGACATTAAAATAATTTGAACAACACACTCCAAAAACACACTTGGAAAAAGATATATTCCAAACCATGGTTAGGGAACTTTGTGAAACTGGATAGGAGAATGACATTTTTTCACTTTTAAATATGTATTTTTTGGGCTGTGGAGATAGCTCCGCAGTCTAAGCATCTGCCTGGCAAGCGCAAAGACCTGCATTCCTTCACTGGTACCTCATGCCATGCTGGCCCCAAAACCTGGCATGGTGGCTCATGTCTGTAGTCCCAGCACTGGGGAGGCTAAGACAGGAGGATCACTATGAGTCCAAGCTGCATAGTGAGACTTTGTACCAAATACTTGTTTGTTTGTTTGTTGGGAGGGGGGACTCAGTCTGCCCTGAGGGCTTGGCTGGCCAGCATGTGGTGCTGGGGGGTCAAACCATGGTCCCCTGGGCAGGTGCTTTAGACGGCTGAGCTGTCTCACCGGCCGCCCAAATAAATTTTTTAAAAAGATTTTTAAAAATAAATATATATTTCTTTGT